AGGAAGGAAGGAAGGAAGGAAGGAAGGAAGGAAGGAAGGAAGGATCCTCCCAGAGCTCTCATTCCCAACATACCATGCTCAGAGGAGACCTGTGACCCCCCATTCTCTCCAGATGTTGGCTGATGTTTAGCTACTTTGCCATTGATGGCATAGCATGTGCCAGGCTGCCCTGGGGGACAGACACGTTGGCACTGCACAGGTGCATTGTTCAGGTCTCTGCTGCCTGGCACGAGCGTTTCATGCTTCTGTTGAGAGCACAGTGGGATGGCAGGGTGGATGAAAGGAACTGCAGCCAGCTCCAGGACACACTGATCTAATCAAATTGGGCTTTCACATGCTAATTAGCAAACACTGGCCAACACAGGACCTAGCACACCCTCTTCATACCACAGACATGCTGGTCTTTGAGGCATTTCCAACTTGCTAGAAGACACACCTGGGCAGAACTGACCCAGGCAGCCTGGAGGGACATGTCAAAGGTCACCCAGTGCCCTCAGGGCATATGGAAAGAGGACCAGAATCACAGGAAGGTAAGTCCTTGGGACAGGGAGTGGAGAAGCAGATGGCTCACCCCAACTTGGCCCATGTGCTTGGAAAGGGGAAGCTAAGGGGCAGTTCATTGACAAGACACAGGAATAGCCCCATGGTGAAACGGGGGTGGTGGGGTCTCCTTGGGGATGGTGGGACCCTAACCCAGCCTTGTAGGGTGCCACCATGCCCCAGGCAACCCAACCACCCCTTGCTTTGCCACGTGCCTAAAGACAGTCCTTGCATGGGGGTTTATTGGGCCTGACAAGCTGGGACACCAGCAGATAATCTCTGCCTTGCTGAGGACAGTCCCCCAGCAGGGTCAGGCACGCTTGCCACAAAGGAGTGGAAAATTCCTCTCACTGTGCAGGCACTCCCTACAGCCTGGGCACATCAGCTGTCATCCTGCAGGACTTGGCATGCCCTGGAGTGTTTATCAACACCATTTCGCAAGAGCCATGGCACACAGCCTGGCAGGGGCACGCAAGCTGCTTGGGCAAGCAGCTCTGCTGAAAGCCCATGAGCTTAGGAAACACTCCAGGCTGGGAGTCCGCTGTGGATTGATGTCATCAGTGTGGCCATCAGCACCTTCTCCTTTCTGGCCTCGTGAGATCAAGGCCAGAGTTGTGAGCTTTGGTCGTGGCCCTCTCTGAGTCCTGCAGAATCCTTCCCTTGGTCTCACCTGGCAGGGTTGCTCACCTGAGCTCACCTGACCTCAACATGCTGGTTCCCCACTCGCCCAGGGCATGCTGCTCCATCCCCACAGGGTATATGGCTTGGGAAGGGAGACACCCAACTCCCTCCAAGGGCTTGGAGGTATCAGCTGGAGCAACAGCATAACTGTGGTGACAGCACAGGCTGAGGACTGCTCTGCAGGCACGGACCAAGTGGCTGCATGATGCCTGAGAGATGACACAGCAGGGCCAGCCTGTCCCCTGTTAACTCCAGATGTGCACAGCCAACACAACCCCCTCAGGCAGGGAGGAAAGCAGACACATCCTGGACAACACTGGCTGGACAGGCAGAGGAAATGGAGCTGCAATCAGGCCCTGGGAGCTAGTCTGAGCCCTGCAGTTGCCCTGGCCAGGGCTGGTTATGCCCACCCAATGCCACGGTGTTGTCCATGGCCATCATCAGTGGGTGCAGCAGCCCCGTGTTAAGAGACCACAGTGCCAGTGTTCTGCTCTGCTCCAGGCACTGTGGAGCCCAGGAAATGTCTTAGCTGCTCTTGAAATCTCCAGATGCCCCTCAAAGCCCCGTTTAAGTGGGAAATGGGTGGTGGGTTTGTGGGGTGGGTAAAGAAGCAAAGCATGCCCAGCCCAGCCTTTCCAAAGGGGCAGCAGCTCTGCTTGGCACCAGGGGAATGCAGGGCACAGCCTTCCCCAGCAGACAAGGTCCCTCCAACGGCGCTGGGGGGTGCAGGGACTGGGTGTTCCTGGAGTGGGGACCAGCTGGCTCCTGAAGCATCACACAGATCCTGCCCCAATTCCAGTGCAGCTGGAGCAGCAGCAGCAAACAGGCTTCGTTCGGCCGCCAAGATGTTTGCTGGAGCAGAGGCACGCATAAACATTTTGTTTAATCAAGGACTTGGAGTGAACACAGTGTACCCTGGCTCCGTGCGGAGGGAACAGCTGCAGGGCAGGGCCAGGGACACTGACGGGCGGTGGCAGAGCGACCTCCGGTGGCACGGCCAGCACCGGGCTGCAGCGGCAGCAGCAGGAATTCCGCCCCAGGACAGCCCTGTCCCAGCACCTGCCCTGGAGGGAGCAGTTCTCCCGGCTGCTTCCAGGGCAGCCTGTGCTGCAGCTGTGCGCTGCAAGGCTTGGCTCGGCCGGCCCCGCTGCAGCCGTGCCGGAACCGAGGGGAGCTGGGAGAGCTCCTGAGCTGCCCTGCCCGTGGGTCTGAGGGTTGTCACCGCACGGCAGTGCTGTATCAAGAGAGCCCAAGGCCTTGGCAGTGCCAGCTGCTGTGTTCTCACACGGGCAGGATGGGATCTGCTCCTGCCCTTCATTCCAGGAATGAGGTTTGGGGCTGGGGACCCCCTGTGCCCCACCGGGCCCCTGGTCAGCGAGAGCAAGGTGAGGTCAGAGCTCTTCCTCTGCAAGCCCCGAGTGAGCAGCACAGGCACCCAACAGCTCCTGATGGACCCCAGGCCAGCACTCAAGAAGACGCTGATGGAAACGCAGAACACAGAATCCCTCTGTGGTGGATATGGCTAAGGGCACGCTTAGAGGAACTGCCATCAAATTCAAGGTTTTTTTTTCTGGTATCAGCTAGGAATTAAGCATCTGAGTTGCTATGTTTAAACATGAACCTTTAAACATCCCTTCCCACTCCCACCCATCCCAGCACTGTGCTGCACAAACCCCAGGTTTCTTTGGAAGCGTTATTTTAAGGAAAAGATTTAAAGGACTCCTTTCACAAAGAATTGTGCTATCAGGTTCTTTTTCTTCTTTTAATTCCCAAAGAGGTATTTTTTTGTGCATTGGGGATTAGCTCAAGAAGAGCTTTGGAGGACGCTGTGCAGGCAGCCCAGACTGTGGCATTGCCAATCAGCGCACTCTTCTTCCCGCCAGCCTCAGCTCGGCTGCCAAGCCTGTTCCGAGGCTTCCCGGGCAATTAGTGGTTACACCACACATTCACACAGCTGGCTGAACCACTCCAGCTTTCCACGTGTCCTTGAGAACCTTAAGCCTTTGTAGTAATGAAATGGCTGAGGATAATGACAAGCATCAACTCCCGGAGTGCAACACCTGGGCTATGTTTTTCTTGTAAGCAGCTGTGTCCCTTGGTGGGACAGGTCTGAATGAGTGAGCTTCACCCTCTGTGTCGAGCCCCCGTGCTCTCGGCAACCAGACTGGAATTAACTGGCTTCTTAGTGTGCATCCAGGGCGGTGTTGGCTTGGTTATGGTAACTGAAAAAGAGCCGAAACCACTACAACCTTAGGTTTTTAGACCTTGCTGCTTTATTTATACAGCACTTTGTATCCCATTTTTTCAATTTTTCATGGAAACGAAGCTTCACTGGGCTACCATGGGCTGCCTGTGGCGCGTTCCGCAGTCTCGCACGTCGGGAGCGCCGCTGTCACCGCGCGCCAGCACAGCTCGCCCCCTGCCCGGGGCGGGCACAGCGGGCCTGAGCGGCGCGCAGCGAGACGGGAGCAGGGCGAGGCCGCCCTTTCCCCGCCCCCGGGCACGGCTGTGTTCCGGGGAGGTCCGGGCCGACGGGGCGCTAGGGAGGCGGCGCTGGGGCGGGCACCGGCACAGGCCACGGCGGGACGGTCGCCGCGGTGACGTAAGCGGGGCGTGGCCCTGACGTCACTTCCGCTGGAGGGCGGGGCGGGGCGTCGCGCGCCGTGCCGCCATGGCGCTGTCGCGCGCGGAGCGCTGTCTCGCGCTGCTGCTGCGGCTGCTGTCGCGCGCCTGCCTCGCGCTGCTCTCGCTGCTGCCGCCGCCGCGCGCCGGCCCCGCGCGCGCCGCTCCGCGCGCCGTCCCGCCGCCGCGGCGCGCGCTGCTGCTGCTGTCCGCGCGGCGCCTCGCGGAGCTGCTCCGCGCGCGGCAGGTACCACCCGCGCCCCGGGCGGGGGGAGCGGGGACAGCGGGGGTGCCGCGGCGGGTACCACCCGCACCCCGGGCGGGGGGGGAGCGGGCACAGCCCGCGGCTGACGGCGGGTCCCGCTGTGCCCCGTGCCCAGGTGACGTGCATCGAGGTGGTGGAGGCGTACGTGGAGAGGATCAAGGAGGTGAATCCCCTCATCAATGCCGTGGTGAAAGACAGGTAAGCTGGGGGCAGAGGGCAGCTCGAGGGGACAGGGCCGTTCTCTCCCCTCGGGCCCCGGGCAAGGCCGCTGCCCCAGGCCGGCGGCTCGGCCGGGGTGCGCTCCCGGCTCCGGCGAGGACCGGGCAGTGTCACTTCCCCTCACAAGCTCCTGCCGCACTTGGGGTCCGCCCGCCCCGCGGGGACCCCGCTCCTCTCTGGTGCAGAACATGGCCGGGTGCTTTGCTGCAGGTTTGAGGAGGCCCTGCAGGAAGCCCAGCAGGTCGATAAGCTGCTTTCGGAGGGTCCTGGTGATGACTGCCTGGAGGAGAAGTTCCCCTTGTTGGGGGTTCCCCTCACCGTTAAGGAGGCCTTTTCTCTCTACGGTGAGTTTATCTTTGTGGCTCCCCGGCTCTTGATGTGCTCCCCAGAGTGCGTGGGTGTGGCAGGTGCTTGGAGGGAAGTAATCTCCCTTTCCCTGGTTTGCAGCGAGCCCTGCCCGGGCTTCTGCGTTTGTGTTCGTTTGTAGCATATAGGTGCTGCAGAGCTTGTGGTGCCTCAGAGGAGCAGCCCTCACTGGGAACCTGCCTCCTGCAGCCCCAGGTCATGTCGAGGCACTGGCCCTGATGCCTCCCTCCTGTTGACCTTGGCACCACAGGGATGCCCAACACCTCTGGCTTGGTCAACCGCCGCAACGTGATTGCCACCTCGGACGCCACGGTGGTGTCGCGGCTGAAGCAGGCAGGTGCCATCCCGCTGGGCGTCACCAACTGCAGCGAACTCTGCATGTGGTACGAGTCCAGCAACAGGGTCTACGGGCGGACCAACAACCCCTATGACCTGCAGAGGATTGTGGGCGGCAGCTCAGGTGAGCCCCAACACCTCGGCACGGTCCTGCACGAGTGGCAGGGTAAAATGCAGCAAGAGCAGAGTTCCATGTCTCTGCACGCAGCTGTTAATCTGCCCCTGGGCTCTTGCAGCGCTTACAGGCCTCTTTCCTGGGCACTGCCGTAGGCTATTGGGAGGTCCAGCTGCTTTGCCTCTTCTGGGTGTTTCATCTGGTGTTGTTTCAGTTTGCTCTGTTGTACTTCAGCAGGAAAATCCCCTCGGCCCGCATTCCCCATCTGTCCCCCAGCTATCACTAAAGCCAAGGTGCCCTCCACTCCTCTTGCTTTTTAGACCCTCACGCTCTCTGTGAGGTGCTCCTGCTTTGCTGGATGATTTGCACCATAAACCTGTGGCGTTTTGCCATGTTTTCTCCTGTGCAGGTGGGGAGGGCAGTGTCCTGGCAGCTGCCTGCTCAGTCATAGGTGTGGGCTCTGACATCGGCGGCAGCATCCGGATGCCTGCCTTCTTCAATGGAGTCTTTGGCCATAAACCCACGACAGGTAAGCTGGATATTTGGGTCACCTCCTCTTCCCCACCAGCAGAAATGCCATGAGGTGGAATGGGGGCTGTGGGATGAAGCACTTCAGGACAGCCCTGTGCTGGTCACTGCTGGGATGGCTGTAAGGAGTCGGGTACCCCCTTGGTGGGACAAGCCTGTTGAGGGAGCACAGCTGGGGCTGGCAGTTGGGAAGCTTTTGGTGGCAGAACACCCGGCACATGGGAGGCGGGGGTCTTACCCAAGTGTTGCATCCTCAGCATGGGATGTTCTCACAAGGTTGGGGTCTGCTGGGATGTTTCTCTGGCTTTCAGTGTCCTGACTGGGTGCTTTTCCTCCGTTCCCCACCCCATGCACCTTGCCATCAGCACTTGTGGGGCTCCCTAATCCCTGGGGAACCCTGTCCCCCTGCACCCGCAGCAGGGCTGTGCCCATCTGGAGGCAGTGGTCGGGGTCGTGTCTGACCTGTGTGCTCTCTCTCTCAGGGGTGGTGCCCAATGATGGCCAGTTCCCCAACGCCCTCGGCGTGCGGAGCAGCTTCCTGTGCACGGGGCCCATGTGCCGCTACGCAGAGGACCTGGAGCCCGTGCTGAGAGTGATGGCCGGTCCTGGGGTCAGCAAGTGAGTTGTTCCCACTGCTCCCAGCTGCTGAACTGGAGTCGGCAGCTTTCTGATCCTCACAAGTATTGGTTCTTCGTACAAGATGGGTCTGCAGCCCACCCAGTTTCCTTGTCACTGGGACTGACGGGGCGGGTGAGCAGTGTTGTGGGCACTAGGCGTCTGTGCATCTTCAGGGTCTCACCTTGGGGACACTCCAGGGGACAGAGCAGGGTCCCCTGAGGACACATAATAAGCATGTGAGAACCTCTAGCAGCTGCAGAGGAGCTGGGGTTGGATTTGTGATAAAGCACCATTCCTTTCCTAGGCTGAAACTTAATGAGAAAGTGTCGCTAGAGAAAATCAAATTCCACTGCATGGATCATGACGGCGGGTCCGTTTTTGTATCACCTGTAGACAAGGAGATCTTGCAGGCCCAAAAGAAGGTAGGAAGCAGCAGAGGATGAAACTCACTGGGGTGAGCCTGAAAATAGAACCTGGGGAGACCAGTCAAAGGAGGTGGGGAGGGGAAAGAGCTGCTTTGTGTGTGGCTCTGCAGGGGCTGGCAGTATGAAGGGCTGGAGAGGCACCCTTGCTTCCCAGTCCTGTGCTTTCAGGGGTTAAAAAGTGGAAAAAACTTTTTCTTCTTCGGGGCACAAGAAGACACAAGGGGAAGATCTTGCTAGTAGGTCCCCTTACCCTCTTCTCTGTAGTTTCCACAGGCTGATGGCAGTGCATCACATCTATGTGGGAACAAACCCGTCCTTGCTCTTCCCTTCAGGTGGTGGAGCACCTCGAAAGTGACCTTGGGGTCCAGGTTCAGCGTGTGGCAATCCACAAGATGAAGTATTCTTTCCAGATCTGGTCAGCCATGATGTCATCCAAGGACAGCGAAGGGCAGGTGTGTCAGAGTGAGTTGACAAAGGCACAGCTTTGGAGGCATCAGGGAGCAACCAGCTGTTTGGGGCCAGCTGTGGAGAGCTGTAGGCTTCCCAAACCTACCTGGGGGCTTTCCCTGCTCCATTTGCCCCCTCGGTCCTCCTTTCATCTCTTCCTAAAGTTGCACAGCCCCTTCTCCCTTACTGTCCTGTGGGTTGAGGCCATGGCTCTCAGCAGAGGAGCATTGTGGCAATAGGGAGGGGGAGGTTGTTTTGGCACATTGACCTTTTCCGTGCAGTTCGCTAAGTCAGCCATCCTGCCTTGCTCTTTGCCTCATGCTGTGTCTTCTGACTTGTAGGCTGGGATTAACACCCTTTGGAATGGCAGGGGAGTAGCAGCTTTCCAGCAGGAGGCCTGCTTGTGTTATTTTTCCTTGGAATTGCAGCTGCTGTGCTATGCTCTGTGCATGCAAGAAAGTATTTTGTAATAAAATAAACTTCTGGGATGTTGTAAGTTGTGCATTCCTGGCACAGAGGCAGTGATGAAACAGCACAGCCTCACCACACTAAGGAGGGCTTGTCTGGCTCCTCTGCCTCCTTCTGCCAGGTCCCATGGTCATATCATCATGGAAATGCCTCTAGGACATTATCCCTTGCATTGTGTCAGTTGGATGCTGCTTTGGGAACTCTCCCTTCTCCTTGCTGTCTCTGGCAGGGAAAGATATTCCTGCTGCTGCCAGTGTCAGAGCTGTGAAGCACCTCTGATAGGCATCTCCTGTGTGAAAGTGGGAACACCTCACACTGGAATAATGGGACAGCTGGAATTTCACTGTCCCTTGCCAGCCTGTGTCTCCCTGCTGGCTCTGCTGACACGGGGAGTGGCTGTGTTACAGGAGGCACAAAGATTCACGGACCTGCTGGGAGACCACGGGAAGCCAGTGTGGCCGCTGTGGGAGCTGATGAAGTGGCTCGTGGGGATGTCTTCTCACACTCTCCCAGCTATTGGTAATGCTGCCGGGGCCCTGGGAAGTGCAGAAGCAGTGGTGGGGTGGGCATGTTGTTAAATGCAGGTATTGCCCTTCCAGCGAAGAGCTCGGGTTTGCCCTGAGCATCTTCAGCCTAGCTTTGTAATGACACTCCGTGTCTTTGAATTGCATGCAAGCTCAAGAGAGTGGATCTTTGATAAATGGGAGTGGGTATATCTTGGGGGAGGAAGTGAGGGTGATGGAGCTGGGGGCAGGGCTCACTCCTGCTGTGAGTCCTGCCAGAACTGCTAGGGTCTCAGAGGCAGGGTCTGCACTGATCTTGTTTCGTAGCATCAGGTGCTAGAGAACCCTAATTAGCACAGTGCTACCGTGTAATGAGTGCTGGGATCATTCTGCCAGCTCTGCTTAATGCCACTGGCTGGAAAAGCTGGAAGGGAGGGGCAGGCTGAGTGCTTTCCTTGGCAGAGTTGGGGGGATGCTGCCCACAAAGCTGTGCTAGGGGCAATCTGCTGTGGCTACTGGCAGAAAGGGGTACCTGGGGGGCACCCCAGAAGCAGAGGATGTTGTATGTGGCTGGGCAATGTGTTTCTGCCCCATATAGCCCCCAGTCGTCTCTCCCTTATCCCCATTTCTACTTTTTGCTGCAGCCCTGGGACTGACAGAGAAGGTGGTGAACCTCAACCCTAGTGGGAAGGACAAGCTGGTGAGCATGGGGAAGAGCCTACAGGAGGAGATGGAGGCACTGCTGGGGCCGGACGGGGTGCTCCTGTACCCCTCACACCCCACCATCGCCCCCAAGCACCACTCCCCCATCTGCATGCCCTTCAATTTTGCCTACACAGGTGAGCAGCCCTGGCTCCTGTGTGGTTGCAGGTAGGGCTGCCAAGATGGTCTCCCTGTGGCAGCAGCGTGGGCTGGCAGCCAGGCTGTTGTACCAGAGTGTTTGCATTGCTGATGGATGGCTGCACAGCAAAGAGGGGCATCTGGCTGCTCCAGAGAGTGAAGCGAGGGTTGTCGTGCTCCATACTGTGTGGCACCTTTTACCTTTTGCCAAAGGTGCTGTCCACAGCTGGGCAGGTGTGACTGTGTGTGTCTGATACTGGGGGCCCCCATGCCCCAGAGGGGTTACAGCTGCTACTGCAGTTTAGCAGGAACCCGAGACCTGCCGTCTCTTGGGGTACAGCCTGGGGCTGCCTGTGTGGTTCCCATGTGGTCTGAACACCTTGGCAGTGTCAGTGCTGCCTGGCTTTGGAGTGATGGAGGGCTGCTGCCTGGGACGGGAATGTCCGAAATGTGGCATGCCACAGTGTGTGCCATCCCTCATGGGTGCTGTTTATACACATGATGTGGGCACTGGGAATCTCTGGCCAGTGATGTCCCTTGTCACTATGTCTGCTCTGCTGTATGAAGCACCAGCTCCCAGGACCCTTGTGCTGTGTACCTAGGGTGGGAGAGCCAGGCAGTGATGTACCCCAGTCTGTGCTCACTCTAATCCATCCAACCTTCTCTCTTGCAGCCATCTTCAATGTCCTGGGCCTGCCGGTGACACAGTGCCCGCTGGGGCTGGGCAGCGAGGGGCTGCCCCTGGGCATCCAGCTGGTGGCAGCTGCCTACAATGACCACTTGACGCTGGCAGTAGCCCGGTACCTGGAGAAAGCCTTCGGAGGATGGGTTTTACCAGGGAAGGTTTAACCTCGGGAGGCAGGTGACAAGTGCTGATCTTGTTCCCGTCATGGCACTGCCTGCTCCCTCTTCGTCCCCCTGCACCCTGCTGGGAGTGGCTGGTGGTGCGTCCAGCCCAGGAACAGCTGGGCCATTGCCACTGGAGTCCTCATTCCTGTGGCACCTTTTGTAAGGGAGGGCCCTGCCTTTCCCAAACCCTTCAGGAACCCCAGTGCCACAGTGTGAGGATGTCCTGCCTGCAGTGGGCACACACCCACCTTTTCCAGACCGTGGAGTTGGCCAGCTCTGTAACCCTTCTCCTTTCAAAACGCTGAGTGAGAGCTGGGCAGGGGACATGCTTCCAGACTCCTGGGGGCAGCTGTGCAGCACCCCTCGGGGCTGCCTGGGCCTGGGGGGGTCCTTGGCCTGACCCTACCCACAGGGCTGGACTCTGCCTGCTGTACCCAGGCTTGCCAGCCCCCACAGTCCTCCCAAGCTTCTGCAGGCTTGCCCCCACCCTCGGACCAAAAAGGGAGAGAGGGGTTGATGGGGCTGGAGGAGCCATAGGCCTGCCTCGCCGGCAGCACTTTGTGGGGTGGTGGCTGCTGGGCTCTGCAGTGTGTGCAGCTGTCAGGCACAGCTGAGAGCATTTCAGCACCGGTTCAAGCATCTCCTGCTTGTGTCTTTCCCCTTCTCTCTGGGGGGGTCATCCTGCCTGCCTGGCGTCTCCTGCTGCCTGTCCTGCTGAGCTGCCTGGGCACTGCCCCAGGGGCGGATGTGGGCAGCAATGTGAGGGGTTCGTCTGAGCAGGCAGCGAGCACAAGGTGTTCTCATTGAGGGAAGTATTAAAGAGCCTGTCCAGTGAACTGTGGCTGTGTGTCCTTTTCCTCACGGCTGTCTCCCTCCCAGCTCCTGCCAGGCCCCAGCCCCATCTCTACGAGGGATGTGTCAGGGCTGCCCAGCACCACTGGCCGTTGGAGTGCAGGGACAACAGTGGGAGATGCTGGCATCGGCCACTCCGGGGCTGTTGTTTGGAAATGCCCAGGGTGACGGTGATTGCTGGGCTCTGAGCAGAGCGAATGGTCCCTATGAGCTGCACATGGTGCCCTCAGTGGCTCTGTCTTGTAATGGTTGCACGGTTCTTGGGAAGCACAAGTCCAGCTGTCTTGTCCCAGTGGGCTGCCCGAGGCCTGGAGCTCGAGGTGAGGCAGAGCCACGTGCAGGTCCCTTGTGGTCTCCAGGGCAAAATGAGGGGCCCCAGCCCTTTGTGCCCAGCCTGTAGCACTGGTCTTGACAAGAATAAAACCTGCTACTGGTTTTGCTGGGATGTCCTGGCCTGTGTCTGCCCTGCCATGTGCGCCCCTGGCCTGAGCCCTATGCTCGTCTCTGTCCCCACGCCACTGACGGTCCGTGCAGGATGTTGGCATGGTGTGCTGGGACAGGCTGTGCCTCCACTCTGGTGTGCAGAGGGCACTGCTGAGCGCCCGTGCCCAGCTGGGACGGTGCTAACGAGGAAGCAAGGAAGGAAAAAAACCCTGGCTTAGCAAAGGAGAGACAAACAACTCAAAGTAAATAATGTCTCCTAGCGTGTTGGCACAGACAACACGGACTGCCCCCCCATCTGGAGGAAGCCTGGCAACTGAGCAGACCGAGGCAACACTTCCTGTGAGCACTCGGGGTCAGACGTGAGGCTGCTGAGCTGAAGGTGTTGTGTTTAACTGTGGTGGACAAGGTGGGTTCCTGATACGGCAGAGGGACAGAGAGGAAATGCTGGATCCAAGGTAAGGGGGGATGGTGTTGCTTTAGAGTGGTGCGGTGAGGATGCAGACAAGGAGGATGTGCAGAGCAGAGGGGGTTAATCCCCACAATCTCACTTATTGCCACAACACGAGGAGAATTGCTAGGATTTTTTCTTTGGCCATGGCAGAAAGGGAACAGATTTGCTAGGGGTTCAGAGGGGAGCTGGCAATATCTGGCCTGCAGTCACCCCCGCTGCTTCAGGGAATCATAGCCCCCCTTGTGCTGCCCTTCTGTAGCCTGTCCCTGCCTGCACAGGGTCCCCATCAGCTCCCCAGCTCTGTGCCTCCACAAGCCCCAGGAACAATCCTGGCTCTTTCTCCCTCCAGGCAGAAATGCTGCCTCCTTCAACGGGCTCTGTTGCAAAGCCAGGAGGGCTCTTGCTGATCCCAGAGTGGGGGGATCCCTGGACCTGCCCGTGCTTTGGTTCTGGTGTTTCAGAGGTCTCACCTCAGCCCTCGCCCACAGTTTGCAGCTGCATGTCCGTACTTGTTGACTGTTCCTTCTCGTTTCGAACTCTTAATGCTGCAAGGGACAGAGAAAACATGGGGGAAATGTTTTATACCCGAGGTGGTTGCGATTGTAGCAAGAGTCAGCGTGAAATGGGAAGAGCGAGAAGCAGTGGCAGTGGTGAGCCAGCCCCACGGGTGTCCCGTCTGGCCAGGGCTGCTCCCACCCCTCTGCCTCTGGAGGTGGCACTGGGCTCCCCACCCTCACGGGGGAATGTGTCCCCACAGCCAGAAGGTTGGTGGCATTACCTCTGTGACCAGCAAGAGCAGGGAAAGATTCCTGGTGGCTGGACAGTGGGGCAATGCCAAGGTCAGAAGGGACTGGCCAGGTGTCAGGTACAGGTGCCCAGCGGGACCAGCCTCTGCTGTGGTTCAGTCCCAGGTCTCTGCTTACAGCCCAGAAGGTGCCTCATTGTGCCCCTTTTGCCTTGTGGGTGCTGTCACACACGTACTGGGAGGCCGTGGGATGGCTGCGGGTGTCCTGGCAGTGGTGCCACAGGTTATGCCAGTGTGAGTCATGTGAGCTGGGCTGAGTCACCTCCCCAGTGGTGTGAGATCAGGTGAGGAGCTTTCTCAGACCCACATCCTCGTGACGAAGGCAGCATGGCTTCTCACCACACAGTGCCAGAGGTGGGTGCAACAGAAGGTCACTGCAGCACATGCACAGTGCCAAAGCAGCGTGGCAGCTGCCCGCTGTGTCTGTGGGTCCACTTACCACCACAGCCCTGAGGGTACCTGCCCTGCTGCATCCCCAGGGTGCAGCAGAAGGTCACAGGGGCCCTGCCCCTCCACAGTGGACACCTCTGTGCCACCATAGGCATGTGGGCTCCACGGGGCAGTGCCACTGGCTGAAGCTTCGGGGAATAATACCCTGTTTTTAATCCCAGGTCCCAGCAGCCCATCATGTCTGCGGGTAGCGGAACAGCTCCAGCATACCCATCCCTTCCTGTGATAGGATGAGCCCTGCCCTGCTCCTGCTGCTGTCCCTCGCCAGCTGCTCCCTGCTCCAGGGTAAGCCAGTGCTGAAGCTGCCAGCACAGTCAGGGGGCCCGGCTGCAGGGCAGGAGGAGGCACAGGGACACCTCTCAGACCTACTGAAGGTACTTGTGAAGAGGAGGGGCCCAAGTGGCCATCAAGGTGTGATGAGAAAGAAAACCCCAGGGTCAGCAGGAGCTGTGTCAGGGTTTTGTCAGCTGTCTCTGCTCTGGCAGCAGCGTGGAGAGAGTGTTCTCAGTGTGCCACAGACCTGGGGGATGCAGGGGCTGAGCACCTGCTTTGGAGTCAGGGTTGGCCCATGCTGGGCTGAAGCTGGGGAGCCTGTGCACCTCACAAGGGGCCCTGCAGGACGCTGCCTCATACCCCCTGTTCCCTCCCCAGGGATGCTGCTGAGGCCACGGCACGTGAGGCTGGAGGCACAGAACTTCCACGTGCGGCTGCACTGGGAGCCAGACCCCAGCTCCCCCAGCTATGCCACCTACGAGGTGCAGTGGAGGAACAGGTAGGTGAGGAGGAGGGGGTGAAGGGGTCTGGTCCTCTTACACCCTGGCAGAAGCTGTTGGAGACTCCTGGTAGCCAGAGGACTGTGGTCTGGCAGTAAATGCCGCAGAGAACAGAGCAGTGGCGTTGGCAGGGATTGGCTTGTCCCACCCCTGCACATGCAAGGTCAGCTCAGGACTGTGTCCTGGTGGGGTTTGAGCAACTTCAGGACAAACTTCCTGGACAGCTTGGTCCCTTTCCTGGTCGCGTTCTCAGTAACAGACTAAGGGGTTGCTTTTGGACCGGGGTTTTGCATTTGGGATATTTTCCACTATGCTAAATGGGATTTCCTGTATTTCAGCCTGTGCCTGCTGTCTCTTGTCCTTTCACTGGGCACCACTGAGAGGAAGGCTCTATCTTCTTCTCATGTTGATGTGACCCCCCTACCTAAAGTCACCTTTCTCTGAGGCTCAAGCTGTCACCTCTCACTCAGTTTCCCTCCTACCACAGAGCCTCAACTCCTTGCTGGATTCTCCCTGCCATGGCTCTGTGTTTTCTCATTGTGGAGAGCAGAGGCCAGGGGACAGCACCAGGTGCCATCTGTCCCCAGGAGGGGGCTGGTGACCCCCTCCTCACACATCCCACGACGCTGCTGGCTGATACCTAGGCAGGATGGCGGTGGCTGGACAACCCTCCCTTTGGCTAGGAAGATGTGAAATGAAGCAATCCCTGTGCTTTCTTCCTGGGCAGAACCTCGAGCTGGACCAAGGCAGGTGCCTGCAGGGGGAACAGCAGCATCTCCTCAGTGTGTGAGCTGTATTTTGACAACATTTATGATATCTACTGGGCACGGGTGAGAGTGGTGGCCGGAGGTGAGCAGTCCGAGTGGGCCAGTTCCAGCGAGCTGCAGCTGTATAGAGACAGTAAGGACTGGGGAGTTCCTCCAGCTGGGCTCTTCCTGGGGGCCAGGGGGGAGAGGGGTCCTTGGAGACATCTGATGGGATACAGTGGGAAAGCTTATGAAGATACTGGAGGGAAGAGTCAAGAGCCCTAACCAGAGGAGGGCTGGGCGAAGAGCAAAAGGACAGAGGAGACGCAGCAAGGTGATGGATAGGAGGCCTCAGGCCTCCTGCGTGTGGGAATGTGTCTCTCTCAGTCACAGACTGGCTGTTCTGTCCAAGAAACCTGGTGGTCTCTTAAAGCTAGAAAATTTTCAGGAGCCTCCTCTGACCTCCATCACAGGGGTTGTTGCAACAAACTGAATGTGTGAGCAGTCAAATGGGTTCTACATTGGCAGTTGTGTTCCCTTGTTCATTCCCTCTGCATCCAGCTGGCATGGAAGTGGGTGCATTCAGTTAGAAAGTGATTGCTAGCCTTGGCACTGGGTCTCCAGGCCCTGGTGGGTGGCTCAGGGCTGAAGGTCTCAGCAGTGGGAGCCGGTGGTGCCACAGATCTGTCAGTGTGAGGAGGAGGAAGCAGGAGCAGTGCTAGCTGTCGTGAAGATGTGGTGTCTGCCATTCCTAGAGCTGGTTTCAGAGCACAAAGTGCCATCAGGCAAGACCCAAGGAGCTTCTGTGCTCTGGGAGGGGAATGTCAGACAGAAAAATATAATTTCTACAGAAACCAGATGTCCATCTGCCTTCGAAGGCCTTAATTTTCTACTTTTGTCTCCTTCTCTACAGCAATTGTTGGCCCCCCCAAGTTGTCCTGTCTGCTCCAGGATCAAATCCTCAGCGTAAACATCATCACACCACGCACTCCTTACCAGAGAAGAACTGGCTCCTACAAGCCAGTCAACCAAGTGCTGCTGAAGCTGTGGTACTGGCTGCACCTGTACGAAGGGGAGCTCCTTGTCCAGCAGGTGTGTGCCAGCTGGGCAGGGCCCAGAGGTGCAGGGCTTGCACAAACTGTCCTGCTGCAGCAAAGTCGCCGTCTCAGTTTGCAGTGGGGTGGGGGTGCCTGCGCTGCAGCCCTGCCCACACCTGGCTGTGCATGCAGGTGTGAGTCGCTCTGCACCCCCAGTCTGGGGCTCCCACCTCAGTGAGGCAGGAGACCCCTTCCCTCCCCTGAGTAAGAAGAACCGAACTGGTTCTCTTCAGATGAAAGTGATGCTGCCACAGGTGTTTCAGGAGATGCTCTGGGACCTGAACACCTCCTGGGGCAAAGAAGGGAGTGTTGGATGGGAGGAGGGACCGTGGGGCAGGTGAGGTGTTGAGGCTGCACAGAGCAGTGGAGCCATGCACAAACCCCACCTCCGCCTGTCCCATGTGCTTTCAGGTGTCCTGCGAGCGCAGCAGTGAGGAAGAGCCCTGCACCGTGGGGCAGCTGAAGGCCAGCACTCGGTACTGTGTGCGCACGGTGGCTGCGGGCGTCGCCAGGGAGCGGAGCCGCGAGGCCGAGCAGTGCCTGCTCACTCCGGCAGCCCCTGCAGGTGGGAGCGCTCTCACCAGCTCAGCTGGCACGGTCGCGTCTCGGGTCCGGCTCACGGCACAAACTCGTCTGGAGGTGTGGGTCCCTCACCCCCAGCCACTGTGGTCAGGACTGTGGCCCCGTGCTGCCCAGTGGGGACCTCTCACGGCCATGCTCTCTTGGGCTCGCCTCCTGAAACATCCCAGCCTGACATGGACGGGAAACGCTGATGGGGGGGTGGGAGGGATGTACTTGAGTGACCCCTCCGCCTGCTGTGATCTCCTGGCAGGCTTTCCATGGGTCATTGCCATGCTGAGTATCTTCTTCCCGCTGCTGCTACTGAGTGTGGCCGGGCTGTGCTTCATGATGCTGCAGCTCTTTCCCAATCCTCCGGAGACACGCCTCCCAAGAGCACTGGTGAGTGACGATCCTCCTCCGGCCTCCGCTTTGTGTGTAGCCATAGCTGAGCCAGGGTTCCCTGCATTTGCAGGGGCTCAGCACCTCCTTTCCTCCAACTCTCACACCACCAAGTCCATTTTGGTAGCCAGGTGCCTCCTGTGCTGTCTGAACCGCTGTCCCCCAAGAAGAAGGTGCTGGTGCAGGGCATCAGCCAGCCATGGGTCACAGCAGAGGGTGGGGTGTCAGGCAGTGCAGCCCTTGGTGTTCAGCACAGTTTGGCACCCCGGGCTGGCAGGGCTCTGGCTGGCTGAGGCTGACCGTGTCACTGCTTGCGTCCTTGCAGGCTGAGCTGACCGTGGCCATGTGGGTGCCTCCCCTCCAGCTTGAGGAGGACCCACTGGCCCTGCTCCTGCAGACCGTGCTCCCCTCCCGCGGGCCACTCTCAGCTGGGCAGGCATCGGCCACGGTCCCACAGCTCCTCCAAGGCCTTGCCCAGGATGTGAGTGGCTACTGTGCCAATGGCTTTGGCCCAGACTGCCCTGAGGTAAGGGACCCATCCTGCACCCACAGCCAGCTGAGGCACGCCTTGGGTCCCCAGGTCTCCTCGCAGCTGGAGAAGGATGGGGAGGCAGGTGATGGGGATGATTTGCCAGAACAGCTGGTGCTAGTGGAACTGACTGGAAACAGCTACATCGGTGACAGGGATAGCCAGATACCTGAGACGTGGCTCCCCCTGCACCTCCAGCTTTATTCGAAATGCCAGTGCCCAGTCCTGGGAGCAGGCAGACACCTTCCTCTGCCCGTGCCCAGCAGAAGCTGCAGCCAGGAGTACCTGCAGGAGAGTTTGGGCACGGCTGGGCACTGGATCCAGCTCAGCTCCGTGAAGCTCCCCAGTGCAGAGGAGGAGGAGGGGGAGCAGCTCCCCTGTGCTCCCCAAGCCCTGCTCAGCAGGGACACAGAGCCGGGGGACAGCAGCGTGCAGAGAGGCTGCTCGGGGCAGGCAGAGCTGTGTGTGCCCTGCCCAATGCCCCCCTTGCCCTGCAGCACCCTGTGGCCAGCTGCCTTCTCTGGCTACGAGCCACGGGCCCCTGTGGCAGCGAGCCATGGCGAGTGCAGCACCCCGGCAGCCTCCAGCTCCCAGCACAGCCCAGGACAGCTCCCAGAGCCCCCCAGCCATGACAGCTCCCTGTCCCAGCCCGGGGGTGCTGGGCTGGGGATGGGACCAGGGCAGAGGCGAATTCCAGGCGTGGCCAAGGATGAGCAGGACCCAAAGCTTTCCTCTGGGCGTTTGGTGCTCTTGAGACACAGCATAAGGAGCATGGACCAAAGCTGAACTCTCAAAACTCTTATCTATTTATCTGTGTGCATGTGTGGTACAGTATCTATGCTATATACGTATATATTTATAAAGCTCTTTAATGAAGAAATATTAGGGGTTTTGCTTCTGTGGAAATGTTGATTGTGTGCTGGACTTGTTTTTAAATATCACTAATTTATTATAGAAAACTGGCTTCTCTATTCATTGTTTCTGTGCTCCAGACCCAGCATGGCACTTCCCCGTGCAGCAGTCAGGAAAGGCACTGCGTTAACTTGGGGTTTTCCTGGCAGAAAACTGTGCCCATAATCTCTGTCTCGCTCTCCTGTGTGAAAAGGCTGTTTTTTAGCACCATGGGATGCATTTATTATTCCTGCTGCCAGCACTGGGATGATTTATGGCCGAGAGCCCTGCCCTGCAGTTTTCCCTCGGAATGTGTTTTGAGGCTGTGCCTGAAGCCACAGAGGCGAGGGGAAACCTCCTTGTGCTGTGTCACAGACTGGGATCAGTGGAGTCAAAATGCAGTGACAAATCCAGGCTCTTGGACTCACAAGAATTACTCTGGATCTGGGAACAGGTGAGGATCTGGTGTCCAGTGTCCAGGCAGCTGGTGGAGGGGATGGAGGTACAGCGCTGCCAGTCTTGGGGAGCCTTTGGGGCTGTGCAGGGCCACGTTCCAGCCCTGTGAGTCACCCCTGACACCCCAGCCGTGTTCCATCCCTCACGCTGCAGGCTGAGGACCAGCTCTTTCCCGAGTCTGTGGCAGGACAAGGGTGCTGGGGTCCCCATGGGTGACTCAGGCAGTTACTCACTGGCTGCAGGGGCTTGCCCTAGCCCAGGGGTGATTGAGTAGCTGGGATGTTCCCACTCACATGAAAGAGTTGTTCATGGGGAGTGGAAAAAGACAACAGGCCTGTGACATTTCAAGGTGCCACTCGGCAGCTGAAGTTTCCGAGTGGATACGAGAGGGGGTTTCTGCTTTGCCTCAGAGGTGTGAACAGCATGCAGGTTTCTGCAGAGCCGCAGAGAGAAAGTGCAGCATTCACTGAGGGGTGAGGTCCCAGCGTGGCACCACTGTGTGCAGTGCAGAGTCTGGGAGGAGTGTCTGAATTCGGTCCCACTTGAGTCTCTGGCAGGTTGTGATGCTCTAAACAGGACTGGGCTGTGCTGCAGGATGGAGCTGGGTCAGGGGCAAGCCCCCAGCTCCAGGCCAACCCCCAGCCCCAGGCAGGTCTGTGCAGGACGCCAGAGCAGTCCCTCCATCACCACTGCAGCTCCAGTGCATACAGCAGGGCTCTCCCTCAGCATTCCCTGCTCCCTCCACAGCCTGGAAAGGGCTGAGCCACTGACTGGGCCTTAGGCCCCCAGCCCACCCCACACACCACCATCCCAGAGGTCGGATGCCATCTCTGGTGCTGGCTCAGGCCACGGCACAGCGCTGTGCCTGCAGGAACTGCTGCGGGGGCTGCTGAAAGCTCTGACTCACCACCATCTATCACAGGCTGTTCCTGCCTTCTCTCTGTGGTGTTTTCAGATTCCTCCGGTGCCAGATCAAAGAAACAGGAGGGATGCTGCTGCAAACAGCTCTTTATTAGAAACAGTGGGTTTAGGACTGTGCAAGAGCGTATTTCTTATTACTAATTTTCAGAGAGCGGAGCTGCCAGATTGTGAAAGTGGTGCACAGTGGAAAATTGCTCTTTGGGGGCTAATGGGGCTTTCACAGTCACTGGGTGGGAACCATTGTGCCTGACAACCACGAGCAATGAGGTGGCCCCTGAAATGATGGGCGGAAATCAAGCTCTTATATTTTGCAGGCTGCCAGTACCCAGGACCATCCCCATTTGCCTTTGAAAACCATGGGAGGCAGAGCTGCAGACGGCAGGGTCTGCTCTGACCCTGCACCCACCCTGCTCTCTCTCTCCTGCCTGTCACTGCAGCTGCCTTGGCACCTCTGTGGGACAGCCCAGAATCCTCACAGCCTCCTCAAGCACTGTCCAGCGCATCTTTGTACATGGCAAAGACCTGGCACCTCAGTGAGGCTCTGTCCCTCCCTCCCTGTGCAAGCTGCCTTTGTGGTCAGTCTCAAGCTCCAGGTAGGTCCCCGAAGCAGCACGGAGCAGGAGAGCTGTCCTGTCGTGCTGGACCCCATCATTCAGCCCAAAAAGGCTTTGTGGGCCTGAGCAGCAACATCCAGGCCACTGACTCCTGCTGCACCTCCCTCTCAGTGGTGGTCTTAGCTGCTTGGCTTGGTTGGGAAGCCCACCAGGATGTGGGTGGGGACCGTGAGAGCCCCAGAAGCTGGAGCCTGGGTGGGGTATGTTTGGAGGATGTGCAGGAAGAGGGCTGCAGAGCTGACAGGCTGCAGAGAAGTGAACTTGTTGGCTCATGCCTGTGTCGTTTCTCTCCAGGCAGGAGCTTTCCTCCAATTCAGTGGATTGGGACCCAAGCAGGGCGATTGGGGCGTTCAGGTCACCCCAGGGGACTGTAGAGCAGAACTGGTCCTAATTCATGTGCTGGTGTGGGAGTGCCCTCACCTGGGGATGAGCGGCAAGTGTCTGCACTCAGAAGGTGCCATGAGCACCCTGACAGAGTCACAGACTACCTAGCTTGGTCACTAGGTCCCCTTACTCCGCAGGACAACCTCCCCCGTGTTGTCCTTCCCGCTCCCCACTGCTCTCCCCAGGCTCTGTGACATACAGCCGGTTCTTGTGCTTCCCAGCCTTCAGATGCACCTCAGGGCCTTTCTGGTCCTGGAGCCTACGGGAATGGAAGCTTCACTTATGCCAAATCTCAGAGGAGTTTCCACTGCAGGAAAGCCCCCTGCACCCCACAGCACCCTCCACACCAGCAGCCTTGGTGCCTGGCTGACAGCACACCAGAAAGGCATATTAAAACACAGTTTATTGCTGTTCTTTATAAAAACCAACAAACCAAAACCCATTAGTAACAAACCCAGTCCCCAAACCCAGCACTATCTGAGACAGGCTTGCAAGGACACTCCATTAGTGCAAAGAGGAAAGTGGCAGTGAGGGCTGAGGGGGCTCTGCTCGCTTCAGCTCCCACAGAACCCACCGTGCCCACTGTACAGTATCCATTTGCCCTGGGGCTGCTTAGGGAGGGCTGGCCGAATTCTCAGGCCCTGGTGGGAGTCCTGGGGGAGCTGGAGGTGTCAGAGGGGGAGCAGAGGATGTCATGGCTGTGCAGAGCAGCTTTGACACAGGACGTGAAGGCATGCTGAGCCAAGGGGCACTGCCCACACCTTTCCACAAACAGAGCTTTGCCAAACAGCTGCTGTCTGTTCTCCTGGGCTTTCCAGTGTGGAAACTAAACGTGTGCCCTACCCTGTGGCTGCTCCCAGTCCCAGGTTCCAGAAGTGTTGGTGGGAACTAGGGGGGTATGGAGCTGGAGCGTGGCTGCACCCTCTGCAGGGTTCTGCAAGGCGCGGTGGCTTCTGAGATGGGAGGAGCTGAGCAGGACCTTGCAGCCAGCAGCACGTGGCCCTGGGCACTGGTAAAGATGGGAGGGATGCTCTGATCCTCAGCCCCTCACCCTCAGGCCCTCTGCAGGTCCCCTGATCCTTTGTTCCCTCCTGTACCTGGTCCCGGCACCGTTGCACCGGACATCATCCCCAGCACCCACCTACCCCACGTCCACGGGCAGTCAGACCCGTGTCACAGCCCTCAGCAGTGAGCACAATTTTCACTGTGATGAGCTGCCTGAGAAGAGCCTTTCCACATCTTCAGAGGGAGCTGGTGTCTCGGAAGAGAGGGCTGCCCAAATGCCAGCCCCGGGGGCCGAGCAGGTTGGCAAGAGGCGAATGCAAAGAGCTCCAGCCCTGGGATCCCACGACAAGCCCAGGACGGCTGGGACCACACAGGGCTGGCAGATGGGGATGGGAGGCTGGGCTGGCCTGGCTGGGGGTCTCGTCTGTCCCACGAAAGCGCCACTGCAGGAGGCTAGTGCTCAGCTTTTCCCATGACACATAGTCACGGGCTGTGAGAAATGTTTTCAGGGAGCAGGGATGCACTACATCCAGATGGGAGCAGTGTGTGTATGTGGTCAGCACTGCTGGTGCCCAGGGGCTGCAGCCAGCAGCACAGAAGGAGGAGGCAGTGGCGGGGGCTGTGAAGCAAGGTGCTGTTTCTGAAAGGCAGGAGCTAGCAATGCTGTAAGCCCTCTCCAGTCTCTCCATCGGCTGGTTTTGGTTGTGTCAGGGCTGCAGAGCTGGAGGGCTCAGCCAGGGCAATGCTGCCAGCCCAGCCCACCCCGTGGTTAGGTCATCTTCCTGGCAACGCTGGCATACGTGTGCTCGATCTCCTCGTCCGCAGGACACGTGTGGGTGAACTCATCACAGGCATAGGCGTTGTTGAGGTAGCGCCAGACGCCCGTCATGTCCCCCGGGATCTCGAAGTCACGATACTTCTTGGCTGCAATCTAGAGGAGAGTGAAGGAGGAGGAGGCTGAAACTCCCAAGACCTGAGGGATACTCACTCTGTGGCTTTGGCAGGGGACTCCCTGTCCACTCCTCTTGGAGCAGGTGCCCCCCTACCCTACCCTGGGGGCCGGTGCTGTTACCTTGATGATATGCAATTTGGGCAGGAGGTTGCAATCAGCCAGAGTCAGATGGTCTCCATCCAGGAATTTCCTCTTGGAAATGGTGACGTCCTCCACACTGTCCTGGTCAATCTCCTCTGGGAGAGGAGTGTTCAGGTAGACATCCAGGCGATGGAACTCCCGCAGCAGAGCCTTCTCAAAATCTGGGAGGGCAGGAAACCGAGAGTAGTGAGTGTGTGCCCTGGGCTCCCAGGGAAGCTCTAGGCTGTGCTGGGCTGGCTGAGCCTCCCACGGGTTTTGCAGAGAGGGAGAAAGTCCTCAGGGCCACACCACCAGGGCACAGCATTGACCCCGGCCAGCGTCTGTTGCCAGGGGACTACAGCAGCGTCACCCCATGCTCTGCTGTTATCCCTGTGGAGGGAGCAGAGAACTGCCTTTATCCTTCCCCTCCACTTCCCAAGGAGGCTTTGCTGAGGCAGGCAGCAGGAATCTTAACCTGATGGCAGGATTTGCCAGCAGACAAAAGCATTCCTCCTGCTGCAGCGTGGTTAATTAGAGTCCAGCAACCCACAATTCTTACTGATATTTGCTTCTTTGCGTGGGTTCTTGATGTATGCCGAGAACTTGGCAAAGATGTCGCTGCCCACATCAAAGGACTCCTTGTACTTGGGGCTCAGGTGTGGATACCTGGAAAAAGACACTTATGTCAGTGCAGGCAGGGATGGAGCAGGGGTGCAGCAGTGCCATAGAGCCCAGGGATGGTACTGGAGGATGCAGGGAATGTTCAGCTGGCTGTGGGAGAATCACGATGATGTGAATTACTGCAGCTGCCACCCTGCGAGCTGTGTCTTCTATCCTGGGTGTTTGCCAGGAGATAATCTCGGGGCAGATACTCCCCAATTGGGGGAACATTGGTGGCAATGGAGCCCCAGAGCAGAGCTCTGCCTGCAGGCAGTTCTGGCCCAGTCCAGAGAATGCACATTGGCACAGAGGGGTCTCAGGAAGCCAGAAGCTCCCATGACTTCCTCAGAAACTGTCTTCTTTTGCTGATATGTCCCAGGGTGTGCAGCGAGAGCAGACACATTCAAGGAGGCAGGTGACAAATGCATTTGAGCTTCCTCTTCTGCAGCAGTGGGAGGGCACCCAGGGCACGGGGCAGGGTGGTTTGAGGGGCTCCCCAGAGAAGTCCACCCCCCAACCGCCCTATAGGTCACCTGCATTCTGCTGTCAAGCAAGGGCATTTGCTTTCCCTCAGCTGAGTGCACCGAGTATAAACGAGCCAAGGGCTCTCGCATTCCCCTCTACCTCAACACCAGCTGCCACAGCCAGTGACAAACCCACCAGAGCCAGGATCCCTGCAGGGACCTCCCCATGTTCCCCCTCAGCCCTCAGAGTGGGGGTGCAATGGCTGATGCATTTCTACCCATTGTTTTCCCCTCTTGCCGTCCCCATGCCCTCCCCAGTGACCCAGGGACCAGGAGAGGCACCCGCCTGCCTGGGCTGCCCTGGGGCACCTCCTGGCACCCTGCCTCAGTTTCCCAATCTGCCGAGCCCCGGACAGCACTGACAGGCCCCGAAATGGGGAAGGAGGGAGTTTGCAGTTACGTGGGTGGACCCAGGGTCTGCTCCAGGAACTCCTCAATCTTGATGAAGTCTGTTTTCAGCTCCTTGTTGAACAGCAAGAAGGGTGGGTTGGTGCCTGGTGCTAAATCTTTCAATTCTTCAGGTTTCCTGGAGCAGAGAAAACAAGCTGGCTCAGAGCCTGTAGCACATCTGCCTCCACCAGCCCCCGAGAAAAGTGGCCCTGGCAGAGGTGGGGGCGAGGAGGGGGCACAGGACCAGGAACATTCCCAGCTCTGCTGGCTTTGGGGAGCGGGCAAGTGCTCCCCAGCCTCTGGATCTGCCCCATGGTGCCTTCAAGTCATCCTCACACCCAGCGGGACACAGAGTCCCTGGGCTGTGCACACTGGCAGGTGGCACAAGTCCGTGCTGGCCCACATTTGCACTCCAGGTGAGGTGGGCAGTTCGTGGGCAGCAATTTGTCCCTGAGCAGTGACAGTGGCTGCAGGGCAGGCAGGGGGAAGAAGGGCTGATGGGGGAGCTGAGCAGGGCGTGTCTCACCCCTTTGCTGGGCCAGGGCTTCAGTGCCACCTCACCTGGTCATGTCCACCGTGGTGACATTGAACTTGACCCCTTTGAGCCAGAGCACCATGAAGAGGCGCTGGCAGAAGGGGCAGTTCCCGATGTTTTCTCCATCCAGACCAGCCTGTCAGGAAAGCAGAAAAATGAAGGTTTAACGCTTTCACAGACAGGATGCCTGGAGCTGAAATGCTGGCACAGAGTGCTGCAGGGAGCCCCTCCCGGCTCCGGGGGAGCTCAGCTGTAGGACCCACGCTCAGCCATGGCCCTGAGGGCCACTGGAAAGAACATAAGAGCATACTCAGGATGCCAGGGGTCGGATCCTTCCCAGAAATGTGAGATAAAGCCAGGAGGAAGTGGAGAAGGAGGCAGGGGGAGAAGGTGGAGGCTGATTGCTAATGGATGGGGAGGAAGGGAGGGTCCGCTTGGCCAGGAGGCCAGGCTGGAGCGGGTGGGAGAAGGGAAATGAGCTCATGTTTGCCAGGAAAAGAGCAGTTTGTTTTCATGTGCTGTTCATGTCTGCCTCCAGTCTCGTGTGTGTTTAATAAACCCGGGCACGATGTCCCCACGCCAAGAGCCTGCCCAGGCTGGCACAGGAGAGAGGAGAATTTGTGCTGGCATCCCACACAGCACTGGGAGCAAACAGAGATGACTGTCAGCTGCTAAAGGAACCCCTTTCAGCCCCTCTGCATGAGCACAGCCACAGGCAGAGTGAAACACTTTTCCTTGCTATGTAGCAGCTGGAAATATCCTTTGCAAAAGACTACTAAAACACCTTATGAGGAGTTTGGCAAAAGGATATGGCAGGTTCCCCCGTGCACAAAAACTGGCTGAGATGCTGCTGTGAGAGGGAAGTTGTGCTGTGGTAAGAGGTAAAATGGCTCACAGGAAACTCAACTTCTTAAAGAGAATTACCAGGTTCCTAGGTTGCACATGAACCGTGCTGCTCCAGCTTGTGTGACCACCCTGCCCTGGCACGGAGGAGCAGCACAGCTCATGCCAGCCCCATCACAGAGGGATGTGTGTCAGCTTGGTGGGACAGCTCTGCACTGCTCTGCCTTGATAGCTGGTAATGAGCTGAAGTCCTGAGGCTAAGCAGGAGGGTGATGAGATTTAAGAGGATCTGGCAGTCAAGTAGCAGCAAAAGCCTCCAGAGTGGGCAGCTGGACAGAGCTCACACCCCTTCGGGGACCCAGAGACAGGATGGCTGAGGAGGCAGAGACCTGTGCCTGGTTCTGCTGGGCTGGAGGTAGGTGCTACAAGTCACCACAGACAGACAAAAGCCTGTGGAGTCTGGAGTGCTCGGCTTCTCCAGGAAGAGAACATTGATGTCAAACTCACCTTAAGGGGGACTGTAAAAGAATCAAAACGACCCCTCAGTACTCCAGCTCGTAAGCTGGAGCAGGAGGTCTGTTTTTTCCATCAGGCCAAGACCTTTTAGTCCTTCCAGAGGACAGCAAATTACTTTTAACAAGTATTTTTTATGCTCAGCTGTCATGAAATTATGTCATGAAATCTGAGGAAGGAAATGGGAACTGAGAAACGTTGATTCCCTAGGATGTGCCCAACAGTGAAGCTGAATCTACACACGAGGATGGTCAGTGTCTATTAATAGCAAATACTCCCAGAGGGGCTACAGCTCAGGAACATCCTGTGTCATTAATAGCTTCTTTGCAAAGGGGTGAAACTGGGTCTCAGCCTTCCTTTGAAGGAGCTGGAGAGGAGAGTCAGAGAACAAACTCGAGGGCTCCCCATGGGCAAGAGTGCAGGGCACCTGTGCTCCCCCTCCCCAGCACCCCTGCCACCCATGACCCCAAACTACGGCCGTTCTTTGGAGCATCTCCAGAATCAACAGCTCAGCAAGTGCTTTTGTGGCTGCCTAGCATGAGGATCAGTACTTTCCTCCCTGCTCTCCCTGCCAGCTGCACTCCCTTCAACTTCCCTGGCACAAGGCTGGGAATGACAGGGCTTCATTTGTTGTCCCCCCAGGAGCTGCTGTGCTGAGCCATGGCAGCACTCTGCTGGTGGGGTGGGGGTCACTGAGGGGAGGGCTGCCCCTCTTCGGGCTGCTCTGGGCACAGACTCTGACTGCCTGCCTCAGGTAGCTCCAGTCCCTGAGCTGTTCAGGCTGGTCTTCCCCCTCATCTTTTAAAAATAGAGAGGTGGGGAATTTTGGACTAGACTGAAAAGAAAATCAGGATCGCCTCTGCAGGGAGAATGACTCAGGCCCATACCAGGATGCTCAGAGCCAAAACCTTTATCTGGAGAAATTGGAGGGGAGTTCCACCAGTGCCCTGGCACTGTTGGGGGAGCATGAGGCTCTGAAAGGGCCTTGTTGGCAAGCACTGGCCATGCAGGGAGCCTCAGGAAGACAGAAGCCCTCAGGGGAGACTTGCAGCCACGTGCTCTCCCTCCCTGGCAAACGCAGAGCAGCAGGGAGTGGGGGCAGTCATTGCTCTTCACTTCCTTCCTCAAAGCACCTCTGCTGCTCCTCCCGCTGCAGCAGGAGCTGGGATGGGGGCACACACTGACACTCCTCAGTCTTTGCCCTCAGGTGATAGACCCAGCGTGGACTAGCACAGAATCTCTAGGAGGGTTGCAGCCTTTTAGCCCCAACTTTCTGAGGCGTCACCGGGCTGCACAGGGCACTGAAACCGAAAAGCTACTCGGCAGTTCCTGTGGTTTCCCCATGGTGAAACAACCTTGATGCAGCGGGAGGAGGAGCAGCTTTGCCTACTTGGGGCACTGCTAAATATTCAGCCCCATTGGGACCTGCCACAGCTCCTACAGCCATCTGAGAGCCAGGGAGCAGCTGAATGCCTGGTGGAGCTGCAGAGCGGAGCCTCCTCCCAGGCAGGGAGAAACTCCCCGCCGGAAAGACGATGCCCTTGCCAGGGATGTGGCAGGGTGAGAAATGCCAGCCCTGGGGAGCCACCAGCCCAGCCTGAGGGGGAAGCAGGAGCTGCTTGGCACCCTGCCCATCCTTGCCATGGTAACTCCAGCATCTGCCAAAGGGAAAGCCAGGCAGGGTGCCGTGCCGTGCCGTGCCATGCTGCTACAGTAGGCGCTGATGGGAGCACCAGCTTCCCCCATGATTTACAGCTGTCCCTGGTCACAGCCCTGTCTGGGGCATCCGCAGCCCAGCCCGGAGCTGATGGCACAGGAAGGTGCCTGTCAGCAGCTAGAGCCACTGTGTCTTTGGTACAGCTGGGTCCTGAATGCCGGGAAGGGGAGGCACAGCATCAACTTTTCTGAGAACAGACAAGCCAGGACGGTTTATTTCATGCTAAATTACAGCACAGGGGAAGTCCTGACCATGCTGCTGCTTTTCTGTTTCACTTCCCTCTGAAAACCCCCTAGAATGTGCTGCTGCCATTGCAGTCACCTCATGTATTGCTTTCTTTTCCAGCCATCCCAGGGACAAGTGTTAAGCAGAGAATTCAAGTCCCAGACTACTTTTACCAAGAATACACTTGTCCAGATCAGCTCAGCCAAGCTCAATGTCCACCAAGAAGTGCTGTGGCTGCAGTTTTGGCAAGGGGATGAGAGAGATCTCTCCTGGGAAGGCTCAGATAATCCTTTCTAGCAAGTATGTCTAACTACTACCCAAGGGAGGCACCATCAGTGCCTAGAACTGCTGGGTGCCTGTGCCAGGGAGGCCAGTGCCTCTGACCAGTCCTTTTGGGCACTGAATTCCCCCAGGATGAGAGCAATGAAGCCCGTAGACCTGAGTGGCTACAGAAAAACCACCCTTAAAACGTCGATGAGGTGGCACAGAGAGGCATTGCCCCCTCGTCACTGTCACTGGACAGCATGTCCAGGGCCCCTGGAATTGCTGTGGGCAGACACAGTTACCAGCCACCAGCTTGGGCTCCTCTCTATTTGCACCATCCACGGCTGCTGCAGATATTTTGAATTTGAGTGTTTAAATATTCCAAGGAAAGGGTTCAGAAAATTGCTTAACAGGGGAAAAAAAAACCAGAAACCATTTCCAGCGACTCCCCCTCAGTGATCACACCCCATCTCGCCCACATGTGGACTCCCACAGCGGCTCCCCGAGCCACCCATGCTCGTTTCACAACCCTGCTCTCAGGAGAAGCTGAAGTGGCTGCTCCCAGCCCTCCTGCTTGCTGTTCCCAGGCTGGGCTTCTCTTTTCTGGGTTTTGAGAGGCATGTGTGCTCCCACTCCTTCATCATGCTGCTGCCAGCAGTGCCACTTCTCCAGGGTGCACAAGCATCACAAGACCAGGGCATCCTTCAGCCTGCTGGGTGTGACACCCACAGTCCCCACACCACCACACGGTCCCCGCATTTGGGCAACTCTTCAGCCAGCCTTTGTGATGAGTGACAGTGGAATTTGTACCCATCTCCAGCCTCACACAACATGAAGACACCCGTGAAGTTCCAGCAGCCGCACCCCGCTGGATGTGGGTGAGGGTGAGCCCCAGAGTCACTGCCCCTGCCCCGAGACCCACCTTGACAAACAGCTCGATCTCGGGCTCCTTGGTGGTGCTGTGCTGCCGACTCTCCATCCCAGCAGCGTGGGGAGGGAGCACTGCGGCCGTGACTGTGCCCTGCAGAGTCTGATGGGGGAAGGCTTCCAGAGGGCTGCTGGCTTGGGCCCCTGGGCTGCTCTTACTCCGCAGAGGGCTGGAGCTCACACTTTCCTTCCTTTTGAAGAAGGGAGGAGCAATGGGGTGTGCGCCAGGGCCTGCCAGCGAGGGGAGGAAGCGGCAGGGCCTCTCAGCCGTGACTCAGCACGGGTCTATCTGCTCACATCCAGCGTCTATCGCACCCACCCAGGTTCTCCTCCAGTGCCTCCGAGCCGTGGGCCGGCATCCCAGCACCTCTGGTGCCCGCAGCACTGCCACTGCCTCTTCCCAGCTGGGAGCAGGGGTTTATAGAGGAAGTGTCTTGCCTGTTGCTCCTCCTGCTGCTCCAGTCGTGGCCCTTTGCCACTTTCCCAGCCTCATGCTGGTGTCCAGTGCCCCAGGGCTTCTTTATCAATTTGGGGTGAACCTGGCTGACCTTTTCGCTGCCTCCTGCAGCTGCATTATGACAGACAGCCGCCCGGAGGGAGGACACAGCTGCTCTCCCAGCCCAGCGGCTCTGGGATCCCTGCGTGGGCACATCCGAGCACCCCTGGCTGCAAAGAGCTGGCCTGGCCAGGAAAAGGGCTCGGGGAAGCCGAGGAGAGCAGCCTGGGCACCTGCCACTGATTTTTTGAAGCTGGGGCACAGCCCTTGGGTGGGAAGGGTTGCAAAACAGCTAAGGCAGGAGATAAAAGATGCCGAAGCATGCCGGGGTGCAGTGGGGAACCCCAGAGTGCCCCTGGCAGCCACCCAGCTGCGTGGTGCTTGGCAGGATGGTGGGATGCCATGGGATGGGATGGGATGGGATGTCTTCAGGGCTGACCTTCAGCAGGGCCCCATTCCTGGAACTGGGCTGTTTTGCAGGAAGGATGAACAGCTTGCTTTCCTCCCCGGGATGGGAGGGAACTGTTTGCTGTCAGATCACTCTGGCTGCAGAGGCAGCTTCCCAGCACACACAAGACTAACTCTTAGGCAAGACCTATCTCACACCCCCAGACCACAAAGCTGGTCCCATTGCACAAAATGGGGATCCCCAACGCTTGACTCAGCTCACCCCCCCCCCCCCAGCTTGGATAAGCTCCAACTTTCTCTCCAGATAATCAAACCCTGCTCAGACAGCAATCTCCCTCAAGGCAATTAGGATGGGAAATGATTTTCCAGACCGTTGGAGGAGGTTCCCTAACCAAGATATTTCCCCTGGTCCTGCTGCACAGCCCAGAGTGGTGCTAACACTGAGGTTTGCAGGGGTGGGGAGATAGGGGGTATTTTTTTTCTGCCCCATCAAAACTTCGGGAGAACCTGGAACCCTACTCGATGGGACAGGACACTCTGACTCACACTGATGATCAAGAGGTAAGTATTGATGGCACTGCGGGTACCTCCCAGGCCCATGGCATCACCCTCATCACAAGCTTGACACCGAGCACCCAGCTCCCCTTGTGGACTCCGGATGATGTGTGCCAGTCCCTGCTGGCTGCTGCCACAGCCTCCCAGCTGCCCCTGCCTGGGCCATGCTGAGCCTCTGGGAGCTGTGATGGCTCCTGGCACTGCCAACTGCTGCTGTCTCTGCTGATCTCAGCTGGGTGCAGAGCCAGCAGCTCCAGGCCATGGCATTTCCCTCGGGCTGGAGCAGCAGGCAGGGATGTGAGTCCTGCAGGTGGGAGGCACAGTATGACACGGTGCCCTCCTCATGAGGTGCCAGAGTACCCAGTACCTGGCTTCACAGAGGCTGTGGGACAGAAACGTGGCAGCAAAGAGGTCCCTTCCCTCACTGTTGGGTGCAGGAAGGGTGTTTGTCTTTCCTGCAGGAACAGCCGCCTGGGAGGCAGCTCAGGGAGCCTTTCCCTTCCTCCCCACGGAGTGAATGGCCGGACATTTGCCGAGATTGAGATTACAGCTCGCATGTAGCTGGATTTCTGTCTCACTGTGCCTGGGAGAAAGCTGGGGGCACTTTGGAAACCCTGCCAAGCCCTGTTCCTCTGCCCAGGGGGAACAGAGGTGGGAGGCAAGGGACTGCCAATTTCTCTGCTAGCAATGGCATGCCAAGGCACAGCTCACCCACAACAGGGTGCCCTGGGGGATGTGTTCCTGTCTAAGAGTGACCCAGCTGTCCCGAGCAGCCTCTGGCCCTGGGCAGCAGGCTAAGAGTGAGACACTTGTGCCCGCCCAGCCTCGGGACTCCAGCAGGGCAGAGAAGCGAGCCATTGTCCCCGCGCAGAGGCCACGGCTGGTACGGGGACACAGGGCTGTGCCATGGCCGGGCTGGTCCAGCCAGCGGTGACCGTGGTCCTTCTCTGCTTTGCTGCACGTCTGGAGGCCAGCCCGGAGCTGTCTGGTGAGTCAGGGCGAAGGAGGGGAGGGGGGGATGCGGAGCCCTGTGCTGGTGTGGTGGGAGAGCCAAGGGACAACAGGTTGGTGGGGTAGGGACAAGTGAGGTAGAAACCACAGCAGGCCAGAGTGAGTTTCCCCAAAATGCTAGGATTTCTTTATCCCCACACAGAGCTGTTCTCTGAAAACACACTGCACACATCCCACAGCCCTGGCGTGCACGAGAATGGCTCCCCACTCTGCTGTGCTCTTTTGGATGGTTTGCAGGCAGAAATGCAAAGAAACAAACACCGAGCCAGTCCCTGAGCTTTGCTGAGCATCCCCTGAGCCACGATGCTCATGTCCTCGGTGCTGGGCAGTGTGTAGAGCTGAAGGAGCTGCCCAGGGCTGCCCTGCCAGCCTTGCCTGCTCTGAGAAGGGGAGGGAGGAGTTGGGTTGAAGCTGTACCTGGTCCTTTGATGGAGCTGGTGGTTGTGCCCCAGCCAGAGCTGCTCGTGAGTAGGGGTGCTGCAGGGTGCCCTGCCACGAGACACAGCACGGACCAGGAGCTCTCCCCAGGGCCATGTCGGTGAGCCTTATGGATGTGGACAAGGCAGAAACGTGGGACCCCTTCTGCCCCAGCTCTTTGAACAGTCAGGAGAAGTGCAGGCAGGCTGGACACCAGGCATTCCCCAGGGACCATCTGGAAACAGCCATGCACACCTTCCGTCTGCTCAGCCAGGCCCAGGTGGTGAAAGCAGAATGCTGCAGGGCGGGCTGTGGTGAGGAGGATGTGATTTCATCTGGGCAGAGCTAACGGCACAACCACAGCCCCGGAGACTGAGTCAGCTGCAGTGGCACGAATCACTCACCAAGTCTGCCTGCAGCCTCCTTGACATGGCTGCACCCAAAAAACATCTTCACAGCTGCTCACTGGCCCAAAATAGGATGATGGAGAAACCTCTGCCCCCATGGCAGTGTTTGAACCTCGGTTTTAAAATACAAACCACTGGTGCCTTCAGCCGGCATGACAGCAGAACAGGGTGTCTGCCTCAAGGCTGGATTTGGGGAAACCCATTTCTTCTCATATTTCTCACCTGAGTTCCCTGCCATCCCTAGGATTTGGCTGAGCCCTCTGCATCCAAGGCTGACCGGCAGCAGAGGGTTTAGGCAGCCCTGCCTCCAGCAGTGTCAGGTGTGGGCAGGTGGGTTTGGAGTGCTAGGCAGAGGCCAAGGCTAGGCCGGCTCTGAAACCTTCAGGAGAGCCTGACTGCTGCCAGGTGCGGGGCTGCTGCTGCAGGTGTGGGACTGCTTCAGGGGATGCAGAGGAAGGGGAGGGGGGCTGGCAGCCTGGGCAGGGTCCTGTGCCCCTCACAGCCCTCAGCATCCAGTGATATGGGGCCACCAGAGGAGAGGGACAGGACAGGGCTTCTCCCGGCCCCTCTTCATGAGCACTGCACCCCAAGGGTCTGATCCAGCTCTGTGCCATTCAAAGAGCATCTTTGCATTGCACTGGAGCTTTGACCTGGCTAGAACACTCTGTCTGCTGCCATCTGCCCTCCTGTACCTCTCCTTTCCTCTCTCCTCCAGCATGCAGAGAAGCAATCGAGGGCTTTATTCTGGGATTCTGTGGCCACCCACTTGCCCATCCGAGCTTGTGAGGGATAATGCCAAGGGAGAGATGAACTCCGGGCTGGAGGCAGCTCCCAGCTGCACCCGCTGACATCCAGGGAGGGATGCTGACGGGTTAGTGACTGAAGGTGAAAGGGGCCCTTTGTGCTGCTGAGCCTGGCACCAGTTTGCAGAGAGGGGGGAGCTGGTGCTCCCACCTTCTTGTCTTGGTTTGGAGGAGTTTGACACACTGGGGTTTGAGGGACATGTCCTGCCCTGGGCCCCAGCACTGGCCTGGGGCTGAGGTGCAAGTTCCTCCAAAGACTCCACTGCTGGGGTTTGGGGTCTGTGATCTGCTCAGAAGCCCCACGTTGCCCTGTTCCCATCTCCCAAGCCTCACAATGATGCTCCCCCTTTGATTTTGTTTTATTCAAAGATGCACAGCGCTTCATTCAGGGCCTACATATCAAATTTCATCAGCTTTTCTTGCTTCCTCAGCCCTCTCCAGCAACTGGTGCCTGCTCAGAGCACCTGGCAGCTTGATAAAACAGCTTCTTTGCCCACCCAGTACCGCCAGTGCCAACTGGAGCCAGTGCTGCATGTTAAGCCCTTGGAGAGGCTGGGCAGGACAGTCCCAGTTAATTGTCCCCTGTAGGGGAAACAAGGAGGGCAGTAGTTTGGGACACAAACTAAGGCAGGATTGAAAGAAAGAAGCATTCTGTGATGGGAAATCAAGGATGGAAGGGCCAGTGCCCATTTAAAGGGTTGTGGGCCAGGAATAGTTTGCACCAACACACTGGGTTTCTGCATTAGAGACCTGAGGCCGGCTGGGCTCAAGCGATGACTTGGCAGGCTCACACTCATCCATACTGACCCAGCCACCTGCAGCAGCCCCTGGACCCTTCTGTCATCCGCCTCATGGCTCAATTGTGACAGACTTGTGACAGAGCACATCCTCCTCACTCTGACTCCAGGCATCATCACTGGGGGACTATCTCTGGCTCACTCTTGTTCTCTCCCCACCATGGCCCTATAACAAGCCTGGTTTTCTTTAAACACTTGACAACTCCTTATGGGATTTCCCAGTCTTCTATAACCTGCTGTACTGCCTCCAGCTTTCCTTTCCTGTTGCTAACTAGCTCAGCTATTCCACGCTGCTTTCCAGGCTCCTGGCAGCAATGATGTATGCGAGGTTTGCCACAAGCCCTTCTTCTCTGCTGCTGTCCTGCTCTGATCTTGTTCACCCCATAAATGCCTCATCTCAAGATATCCTCACTGCCTCCAGGTGCCCCCACTGCTGTGGTCCTGGTGTCTCCCCTGGACAATGCCACCCCTGCTTTCCCCTTCCAGGGTACCTGCGCAAGGTGCTGAGGAACCACACTGCCCACACCTGCGATGGAGAGCAGCTCCTCATCGTCTGCCCTCGCAAAACCACCATCAGCATCCTCGGGGCCTTCTATGGGCGCCGAGTGCCCAGCACCAACCTCTGCCCCAGCCCTGACAACGCCTCCCAGGAGAGCACCGAGTGCACGTCTGCAACTGCCCACCTGGTAAGGCAGGGACCCCAGGGGCCAGGCTGCACAACCCTCTGTCTCCACATCCCTGAGCTGCCTGCTTGGGCTGGGGGGCTGCAGGCAGTGCAGCCTCTCCATGCCCCAAGGAGGTTTTCATCAGGATACAGAATCACGGAATCAAAGAATCACAAACACTCCTTGAACTCTGTTAGGGTTGGTGCTGAGACCACTTCTCTGGGGAGCCTGTTCCCAACCACCCTCTGTGAGAACGGTGGTGAACAGTGGGGTGCCCATGCTGGCACAGGGCTGGGACACCCGCTGCTGCTTTAGGAGCAGGGATGTCTGGAGGCCAGAGAGCAGAGCTGCTGCCAAGGCTCAGCTCTGTTCAGGCAGTAACTGGGAATAGAGGTTGCTTGTGTTTCCTTAGTGACTTTCCCTTCTGGCAGCCAGTGAAGAGCAAGCAGAGGTTCAGTCCTGAGCTGGGCGGGAGGGACAGGGACAGAGGAGGAGAAGGAGAAGGAGAAGGAGAAGGAGAAGGAGAAGGAGAAGGAGAAGGAGAAGGAGAAGGAGAAGGAGAAGGAGAAGGAGAAGGA